ATTACATACGTAGGATTGACTTATTTATACTATGTGTAATGCTATAATCATTAATACGTTCATTTATTCGGAAAGAGGATGATAAATAATCTTTAAATATACATAATAAAATATGTTCTAATTTATTTTTTTGAGCAGTCTTTAAAATCTTTAGTTTGTTTTAGTGCAATATAATTTTTTATAACTAACAGCTGGTTGAATATAAAAATATTCCAAACTAGCTGTAACCCGCGGGCTTTGCCCCGTTTAACTTCTTAATTTTCAAGATTATCTCGTTCGCATGGCTCAATCACGTCCTGGGTTTGTTCGCTACGCTCACTCACCTTTAGGTTGGAGCTCGTTCGCTACGCTCACTCACCTTTAGGTTGGAGCTCGTTCGCTGCGCTCACTTGCCTTCAGGTTAGCTCGTTCGCTACGCTAACTCGCCTCCAGGTTGAAGTTCGTTTGCTACGCTCTGATCAAAAGAAAGCTTATGAAAATATTTTTTTGCTACTTCAATTTTTGAGAAAAGGTTGGGAAATAACAATGATCAAATGTTTTAATTCATCTTGGCAGCTTTTTCTTTACACTAAATTTTGAACTGCTTAAACCATGCTTGAATTAGGAACAGAAATATTGATATAACTATATACAGTTTTAATAGACTACTCGATTCCCGTACTTAGGGCGGGCCAACAGCTCGTGTTATGTAAAAACAATGTAAGAGGGGTGTTTAATAAAGACTGACAGTAGAATACATATCATATAAACAAAGTACAATAATTTGTTTTTTTTCAAGTTGGTATGAAACATTGAAGTATGAGCAACAACCAAATCAGCTGTTTACATTATAGTATACTTATTGTTGCCATGGCAACCGATTAATAAGCAGATGCAAAGTTTTGCCTCTAAAGTTTACTAACAAAGGTATGCAATAATGTTTTGTGTAAAACCAAGGCCACACTAAAAAAACAGGCCGTAATGCTCGTCAAGCATGACGTCACGATAGAAGACTGCAAAGACGTAATGTTTGCCGTTTGTGGTCAGCTGCTTGTTTTAATCTTTCCTTCAGGGTGTCTAGTTTATTTCCATTATAAAATTCAAGACTAATTCCAGACTTTTCAAGACTAATTCCAGATTTTTCAAGACTAGTTTTTACAACAATTAGTGGGTGATGATACCAAAATGTATTGATTCTCGATTCTTGATACCGATAGCAATTTTTATAGCTTAACCAAATTTTCTGAATAATACTACACCAACCCCTGTCTTTGTCATAAAGTAGTTTATGATAATGTGGTGTTTTCAAGTAAAGAAATAATGCAGCAATAAAAAATTCTAACTAGCAAATTTGGTTTTTTTTATCATGAAATCTTCCGCGTACCGTACGATTAGACATCATCATTGACTGCAGCGGTTACAGAAACGTGATCGTCGTCGTCCGCGATCACGGCAAAACCATTAACATTTCCCGCGGCCTTGTAGATATCAATGACATCATCGTCGTCTCCCGCAGTCTCAGAAACGTCATCGTCATTGTCCGCGATCGCGGCAAAATCATGAACATTTCCCGCGGCCGTGTAGACATCATCGTCGTCTCCCGCGGTCACGGAAACGTTATCATCATCTCCCGCGGTCACAGAAACGTCATCGTCGTCGTCCGCGATCGCGACAAAATCATTAACATTTCCCGCGGCCGAGCAGATATCATCGTCGTCTCCCGCGGTCACGAAAACGTCATCATCGTTGTCCGCGATCGCGGCAAAATCATGAACATTTCCTGCGGCTGATTAGACATCACCGTCATCTACCGCGGTCACGGAAACGTTATCGTCGTCGTCCGCGATCACGGAAAAATCATGAAAATTCATTGTCGTCTGCCGCGGTCACGGAAACGTCCTCGTCATCTCCCGCGGTCACGGAAACGTCATCATCGTGGTCCGCGATCGCTGCAAAATCATGAACATTTCCCGCGGCCGAGCTGATATCATCGTCGTCTCACGCGGTCATCGTCGTCGTCCGCGATCGTGGCAAAATCATGAACATTTTCCGCGGCTGATTAGACATCACCGTCATCTACCGCGGTCACAGAAACGTTATCGTCGTCGTCCGCGATCACGGAAAAATCATGAACATTTCCCGCGGCCGTGTAGACATCATTGTCGTCTGCCGCGATCACGGAAACGTCATCAACGTCGTCCGCGATAGCGACAAAATAACTTAAATTTCTTGCGGCCGTGTAGACATCATCATTGACTCCCACGGTCATGGAAACGTCATTGTCGTCCTCCGCGATCATGGCAAAATCATGAGAACATTTCCCTCGCCCGTGTAAACATCAACGTAATCATGAGAACATTTCCCTTGCCCGTGTAAACATCATCGTCATCTCCTGCGGTCACGGAAACGTCATCGTCGTCTCCCGCGGCCACGGAAACGTCATCGTCGTCTCCCGCGGCCACGGAAACGTAATCGTTGTCTCCCGCTGTCACAGAAACGTCATCTTCGTCTCTCGTGGTCACGGAAACGTTATCGTCGTCTCCCGCGGTCACGGTTACGTCATCGTCGTCTCCCGCTGTCACAGAAACGTCATTGTCGTCTCTCGTGGTTTCGGAAACGTCATCGTCGTCGTCCACTTTTGCGGCAAAATCGTGAACATTTCCCGAGGCCGTGTAGACATCATCATCATTGGCTTTCGCGGTTACGTAAACGCAAGACGACGATCGCGGCAAAATCATGGAAATTCCCGACTTTGAAATAAAATTTAAGACTAAATCCCGACTTTTCAAGACCATTTTAAAATTCAATACTAATTCCCGACTTTCCCGATTTTTCCGACTACTAGACACCCTGTTTCCTTGGAAAATAAATAAATAAATACCTACGTCATTGCCCTCTTCTATCGTGACGTCATGCTTGACGAGCATTACGGCCTGTTTTTTTTAGTGTAGCCCTGGTAAAACTGAGGAAAAGTGCTACGGATTCTTCCTTATAGACCTAGTGACTTGAAAAAAAGCTTTTGGTAATAATAAAGTGAGTGAAAGAACCTGTTTCAAGAGGCATAAAGACTTTAAAATGGACAGGAATCGTGTGAGTTGGAAGGTGGACCGACACCAAAAAGCAATGGTGATTACATTCTTTGATTATCGTCTTAGATTTTCCCGGCTAAAATGTACGCAATTCCCGACGACTAATATAGGCTACTTATAAGAAAAGCCCAATAAAAGGTGTAAAAACAAATTAAAATAACAGATATTGGAAAATAATTAAAAACCCACATACGTTTATTACCCCTTAAAGCAAATTAACTCTTAATATTAACCCAACAAACACTGCAATTTAAGGTTAAAAATTAACATTATGAGTTTAACATTTTGCAGAATAAACTTGTACTCCTGAGCTAGGCCTACTGAAGCAGTTTCGAACTGCTGAACGTTACGATTTTTGCGTTTTATTTGCCGATAGTAACTTATAAAATCTTATGGTTATCTGTAAACCGGTAAAAAACCAATAATTATTACAATTAAAACTTATGTATTTTCCAAAATTAACATAAATGTAGTAGCCCTACTTCGCGGTAGAAAAAATTAAAAATAAACAAAATTCGTGGTTGAAAATGGTTTTTTTAGGCCTACTGAAGCAGTTTTTACCGTTACGTTTTTTGCGTAACATTCTCCATAGTTAGGGCCTACTTATGATTAACTGTAAACCGGTAAAAAACCAATAATTATTACAATTAAAATTATGTATTTTCCAAAATTAACTAAACTTAAAGTCAAAGCTAAAACATCAATTCAATCCACAGTAGAGTGTCGATTGGGAATTGTATTGTCATCACTTAAATCGTCGTGTCTGTCTAGTGTCTACACTCGCACGCCATTGCTTGCTACACGAACGCTGACAAATACTTATTACAGTCAAAGTTCACTACAAACAATAGAACCATAAGTATGTTTTATCTATGATAGAACTCTCTGTGGTATCACTGAATGCGAGAATTGAGAGACGTTGGTTGATGCACTAGGGGAATAGTACTTTGGGTTTGGAACTGTACTAGGGGATTGTGGGATTGCCAATAGCTGGTTGATTCTTCTAGTGGTACCAACATAACAACATTTTACAGTGTCTCGATTTTCTAGCAGAGTTGCTATGTCAGTGCAACCTCCATTTAGATGTTTCCAGTCTACGACTATTTTGTTTCGTAAAAAGCAAGAGCGGTTCCCTGATTACGTTTACTTATCAGACTTGGATACGATACATAACTGAGATCGCAGGATAATTTTGAGCTGGCATGAGCTAAGTCGGTTGTCTGGATGTCTGATTCAGAATTCAAACAGAGATGATACAAACAACAAAACATTGACCATACAACTTCCTTAAAAATATTTGTTTTTACATGGAATCAGTATCAAGAATCTTGAGTAATATTTCAGAACTGGTATACAATCGAGTAATTCTGTTACCGGCCTATCCCTATTTAAAATACAATTAATATTCTACTAGGACGTAATTCAAGCCATGACCTTGAGTTTTGAGACCGAGTTTGGCTTTGTTCCAGCTATGCGACAACGCTGCTACCCTGCTAGTGCTACACGCATCACGTTATTATAGAGCTGGCGGAAAGTCGGCGTATTCTGTCGGCGAACCCGAGATTTGATTCTTGAATCTGGTTAATTTCTAATCTGAATCTTCCGTAAATTTACATTCACTATACAACTTTTAGGATAAACAGGCCTGTTAAATTCAATGTTTGTATTTTCGTTAAATGTAGTTAGTCTGTGTCCGTATTATGTGTTTCAACTCTGACTGCTTTAGCTGAATCTTCTGTCTGATGATAGAATTATAATGCCGAAACGGCCTTAACGCAAGCTACAACAGATTGAACTGTAGACAAAGGTAAATACTTATTTTTAAATTGTACGACAGCTCAGGCATAAAAACATGGATTTTAATAAGTTTAAACTATAAACTAAAAAATAATGATGGTTAGCAAAAGAGTAGGGTTAAAATATGATCAATACCTGGATTGCATTAACCTTTTGCATTGGCAGTGGAGGACTAAACATATCAAAATGGGTTTCTTTCAGCACTCCCAAAGACACAGTCACTAACACATGATCAGCAGTTAGCTTCTGTCCATCTGTACATATTACTTCTGCTTGTTGTTGGTTCCAGACTATACTTTTGACTTTCTTATTGTATATTATTTGTTTTTTTAACTGTTCTTCATTATTTCCCTGAAAGGTCAAATTGTACAACACAATTAATCAGGAATTTTCCAAGTCAATACCTCTAAATACAAGCTAATTTTACTTTCCCAGCATAAAAAGAAATTTAACTACCAAAAGTAAATTTATTTAGGTGCATAAGAATTCATTAAGGACGCTGATAAGTACAAAACTTTAGTTTAAAATTGAACGGGTGTCTTACAAGGGAGGAAAATACTGTTGAGCTGAAGGAAGGTCAGGTGTATTAAAGAAATCTTAGCTAGATGGATATTGGGCAAAGAGCCTTGCTGTTACACTTTTAAATACTTGTCCTTGTATTAAAACAATAAATTTGCCGCAGAGGGAATCAAACAGTAGGGATTTCCATTACATACATTTTAATGAACACATTAATCTTAGAATATCAAGGATATTGATCCAGGCCTGACTGAACAGAGTAAAATACAAGAGTGAATACTATAAATATACAAGTGAGTGATATAAAAGAAAATATTCACATGACAGGACCACCAAATTTGATGAGCTACCCTCAAAGAAATAAGAGATGAAAACAAAGCACGATGAAGTGAACCTGCAAGTAAAAAAATGTCAACTGATTTAAACAAAATTCCAGAAGATCAGCAAATATGTCCTCTCGACAAAGCACTATATGGTATCAAACAAGCTGGAAGACAATGGCTTTTCAAGCTGGATGCTACACTTCAAGACTTGGGTTTCAAAGCTTCACTTTCTGATCTATTTATGTATCTGAATCAAAAGATGAATTGATAGCAGTATACATTGATGACCTCATCATTGCATCAAAGAATGAAGAAGTATTGCAAAAACTAAGAAACACACTGATGAAGTCATTTTAAATGTGAGATCTATGTAAATTGAACCATTGCTTAGAAATTAAATTTGAACAAAAAGAAGGAAAACTGATAGCAAATTGAAAAAAATACATCGATGATGTCTTAAAGAAATTGTATACTGCATGACTGATTGTAAGTCAATTGGAACTCCCAAGGATTGTAAAGTGAAACTAAATGAACCAACACTAAATGAAACAGTCAACAAGCGTTATCAAAGTCTTACAGGAAGTCTGATGTTTTTAGCAGTTGCACCGAGACCCGACATAGCATATAAGTTAGTGTCAGTTGTTTGAGTCAGTTTAACAATAGCTATTCTCAAGAGCACTGCAAAGCGTCAAACATTCCTTTTATATTTGAATTTAATTTGATATTCATAAGTTTTAGAGATCATTCAAAATTTTAAATGCTTATCCTTTAAATATAGTGTGAAATTCTTGGTACTTCAACATACCCAATAGTCAAATTACTTATTTCTCTTCTATTCATTTCCAACGTAGCAACGTTCGCTGTTTCAATATAATTAACACTTACAGTTTTAAAAAAGGTGTTAATAAAATAACACTTTTAAACTCACCATTAAAATCTTGAATATATTCTTGTAGCCCCCTGTTTTCCAACGAGTGAGAGAATTCCCTTCGCACTCTCTGTATTGTTGAAGGCCTGCTGCTGATGTTTCAAACCATGAGTCAGAACCATCGATTGAGTTCTGAAAACGTTCGTACCATGCTAAGAACCCCTCAGCAGAAGTAGTTTTGTAATCTATCCCTTTATTACTCAATTTTTCTTTTATACTGTGGACAAAAAATACTAGCTCTTAAAGATGTTTGGTAATACATAAACAATAATACTCACATAAACAGTTAAAAATATAAATTGTTAATACACAATCTATATCTATAAAAGAGGAACTATGTATGTATGTATGTACCTTATGGACTTTGAAACCGCTCGACAGATCGTAATGAAACTTTCAGGCATCATTAAGCATTATTCAAGGATGGTTCGTGTGCAGTTTGGTGCAGATCCGTCAAAAGGGTTCCGACCCAAATGGTTTTAAGTGGGCCAATGTCAGACTTTTTGAACTACAATGTTTACAAATAAATATACTAGCTGTTACCCGGCAACTGTTTTGTAGGTTTGAACAGTCACAACATGCTGTATTAATCATGATTTGAAATAGTGCCACAATGTTTACATAGAGTGCAGCACAGAAAACTATTTTACTGTTGAATACGTCCAAATAAATTAAACCCCAAACGCAGCACACCTGTGCACCCAACAACGTTTGAATTCCCAAATATTAAAAATCTAAACATAAAAACCTTTATCAAAGTATTATAAACAATAAAAGGGATGGCAATGCCTTAATATTTTTATCTTTTGTTCTATACCTACACAATCTAACAAAAGTTATTAATACAGGGTGTTTTTTTTAAAACTTGCATCTTTATTTATGTAAAAACCGCAATAGATAGAAATATGCAGTTTGCGGGAATCATCTATTGACGTAGGGGGCCCAATTGTTTTGGATTCAACGTTACATTCACATTCCCCCCTGCCCCCAACTTAATTTTTTTAAATACCAAGGTACCCCTTGTGACATATCAAATGAAAGAGCATGAAAAAAGAAAATGTTTGGTGACATTTATTTTTCATTTGATATGTCACAAGGGCGGGTACCTTGCTATTAAAAAACAAGTTATGGGTAGGGGAAAAGGGGGTGACTATCTCACAAATTCATGAGCCGATTTAAAACTTTTTTCACAAAAAATTTTCTTTTTCCATGCTCTTTTATTTGATGTCACAAGGGGTACCTTGCTATTAAAAAAAAAATTAAGTTCCGGGGGGGAGGGGGGGGAATATCTCACAAATTTATGAACCAATTTTCAATTTTTTTTCATCATACATTTTCTTTTTTCATCCTCTTTTATTTGATATGTCACAAGGGGTACCTTGCTATTTAAAAAAATTAAGTTGGGGGCAGGGGGAAAAGGGGGGGAATGTGAATGTAACGTTGAATTCAAAACAATTGGGCCCCCTACGTCAATAGACTGCATATTTCTATCTATTGCGGTTTTTACATAAATAAAGATGCAAGTTTTAAAAAAAACACCCTGTATTAAAAGAATCCCTGTCTATTTCACGATTCTGAATCAACCACTTGACGGATTGTCATGATTTTTGTGTTGAAAGAAAGATTATTTTGAGAACTTGGGAATGTCGAAGCCATAATTTTAGTTGAGAGTTTCAGTTTTTTTCGAAAATAAGATTAAAATTTTAAAAAGTCTAGCAGCCGAGACGCTAACATTCTAAACTAGCTTTTCGTATAATACAATTTGCTTAACGTAACAGCTGTAAACATTAAGCGTGTGTGACACAAATTCAGCATTTGGATAATAATGGCATACATAGAGTTGACTTATTAATACTATGTGTAATGCTATACTCATTGAAACGTTCATTTAATCGGTAAGAGGATGAAAGATTATTTAAATATACATGGTAAAATGTTCTAATTTATTTTATTATTCTGTGATTTTGCCATTGATTATAGGAAATAAATAGGATTCTATAACCACTGTTGTATACAAATTGAGGCTCTGCCCCCGAGTCTTCAGAGGAAAGTTTATGCAAATTATTTTTCTGTTCGACTTTTTGAGGAAAGAATAGGAAAATAACAATGTTTACATGTTTTAATTCATCGTGGCAGCTTTTTGTTTACAATGAATGTTTAACCGCTTAGACTCTGCTTGGATTAGAAAGGGAAATATTGACATAACTTCAGTTTTAGTTGACTACTCAATTCCTGTACGTAGGACGGGCCAACAGCTCGTAAGTTATTAAGTGAATAATAATCGTGCGTGCTATCTCAGGTATTCAAATGTGTCTCAATTTGTCATTAACCCACCACATTAATGTCATAAAAAGAAGGAACTAAAATAATACTAATGTGAAACTTAAATCCACCGAAGCTGTGCAACGTTACCAGACTGGCGAATAAAAAAATGACACCAAAACTGATTTAAGCAAAAGTTATCAGTGGTAAGTTTAAAGGAGAAGTAGTCTTAATCCCAAGAATACTGATGATTTCATCCAAACTACCCTCTGAATATACCCCTTAAAGAGATAAGGAACTACAATTTCCTTTGTGTCTTGCTTTCGTAATCACCATTATAAGGCACTAGGGCAAACCCTGACTATTGTCTGTTTAATTTTAGAAAATGCATGTTTTTCACACGGACAGCTGTATATGTTGCGTGCTGACGTGGTGGTAGGTACGCCTGAAAACTTGTATATTTATAACCTAATGAAAAAACCAAAAAACATTGTTTATTCACTGGTAATTAAATAAAATATTCTATTTTTATCTTTGGTCTACACTTTTATTATTTATCGTAAAGAACAAATTATTACCATTAAAAATAATAGTTGTTAAGCGCAGCAACGCGCGCCGGGTAACAGCTAGTTACATATAAAAACAATAAATTAATAGGCTATTATAAAAATTAAATACTTAAAAAACTAACCTTTCATTAAAGTACTTTCCAAAACTTCCCGGACTGTTGCAAAGTTTATGTTCATCATGAGCTACTTCGATGCATGATGTAAAAAGATCAGCTGCATCATCAGGATTTAACATTTTTCCATCAGATAAAACATAATGAGCAGTTGTTATATCGTATGAATCATCACCCAACAATTGGGCTGAATTTCCTAATGAGTGAGCAACATTGTTGTCTTCTCCATGTACCCACTGAGCTCCCAGCTCTACAACACCATCCCCTGCAACACAAACAACAGTTAAGCAAAAGTTTTAAATTACTTCATCTTGACCTTTTAGCTAGACCTCGGAGAGTAAAAAATAAAAAATAAATTTAATGGGTGACGGAAGGAATCAAAGCTACAAGTAGAAACAAACAACGTCTACACAGAGAGGCAAAGGAAAGTGGAAGTGCTGAAGCACAAAGTTATTACAGAACTTACAGACAGTTATTTAAAAAAGTTGTTAGAGCAGCAAAGCGAAGGGCAAATGATCAATATATCAAACAAGCAAAGTGCAAAAGTCAAGCATCTTGGAAAGTGATGAATACAAAGAAAACTACGACTTTAAAGAATTACTAATTAATAGATCCATGGTTAAAGACCCCAAAGTAATTCCAGATTATTTCAATGATCATCATCTCAACATAACAAGAAAACTGAATATTTAAAGTTCACCAGAAAAAAGCTGTTAACTGTTATAAAACAGGCATAGACTCAGAAAGTTTGTTCTTTGAGTTCAGAGAAGTACATGTTAATAAAATGTTAAAGATCATACAATCATTACCAAATAAGAAAGCTACTGGTTGGGACGAGATCCCTCATCCCTGTCACCTTAATTAAAGAGTGTAAAGATTATTTTGCTACGCCAATCTGCACATTAATAAATCAGTCAATGTTTACAGGCGATTTTCCAAAACTTAAATATCAATATTGTTAGGCCGATTTACAAAAAAGGTGACAATTGAAAATACTCAAAATGTTAACAATTTGAAAACTCCACCACTGGGACCACTGACCCACTGGGGCAGAGCCCGAAAGGATTTTTGAGATAAGAATATGATTATTTGGTAATCGGGAATGTGAGCTATCATCATACCAAATTTAAACCTAATCCGACCAGTAGTTAATGTGTGATTGAAATTCAAACAAATAAACAAACAAACATAAAAACAAACACACAAACTTTCACTTTTATAATATTAGTAGATTTGATACGAGAGTCACAAGCTGTTTTCTTTATAGAAGAGGCCAGTAAAAGTTCCATATATTTAAAATACCCCCGCCGCAGCAAACCTGCAGACTAAGCGAATTTCCATTTGCCTGGTTGGATTTACACTAAAATGTCTACTTAAAAATATAACATTTACAAGCAGAATACCTGTCCTTTGTACGGGCTTGGCATATAAGTATAAAATGCTTATTGCACTTGGTATGTTATACTCAAGCTTTGCCCTTGCAATGGGTGAGGACACAGTTTGATCAAATGTTGTTCTTTAAATTTACAGTAAGCTATAGTAAAAAACATCTACCATAGTCATAATGTTGATCGACTGCAACTAAACAATAGAAAAAACTAATTATCAAACATTTGCACAGTATCAAAAATTATTCATTTAATTAAAAGTACATAAACATCTACATAAATAAAATTAGTTTTGTCTGTACATTGCTTAGAATCATGCAGTTTTTGGTTATTTTTACGTTTCATAGCCTAAGAAAGCCGAAACGAGTCTTATCTCAATTTCTGTCTGTATGTCCGTCTGTTTGTCTGTTTGTCCATTCTGTGGTTCCGTCTGTAACGCCAAAATGTCATTTTACGCGGCCTACTCCTAGAAAACTAGAGTACCGATCAAGGTTCTAATCATTTTTCTGTATTTACTGGAATGGTGAGAGTGTCTTTGGCTATAAAAACATGGCCTTGCTTCTTTGAAAACAAAAAAACGAACCATCAAAAACCCAATTTTGTTAGATTTTTGTCAAATTTTATCCCAAAGTTTACTATTACTTTTATGAAATAACGATCAGCTGTTTGGAATAGTTGTCACTTCTAGCTGTCACTGATATGTTTACATTAAAAGTTGTTTACAAATACCGCAACCATTTCCGATCAAGTTTTGTTAGCACATCCAAACCAAGTGAGATTAAAAACATTGTGCCTTACTTAACCGGTTTAATTAATCGCAAGTGCAACGATTGTTCTTGAGTTTTGATAACCGGGGAAAATACCGTGAATCAGTAATGTATTAGTGCTGGGAAACTTACATTTTTTTAATCATCGTCACCAATAGCTTACAAAAAAGGTTTCCACTCATTGACGGCGCTTCAAGGACAGTTGTGTAAAGTGCTAAGTAAAAAATCACAACTGCAGTGGGTGATTGTGGATGTTGCTGCGATCTTGGAAGATCTTTCTGATTTCGCTGTGATCGTAACAGAGGTTTAACTTACAGATGTAGTTAAACTCGCTTTTCCAATGTGTCACTTTTTGGTTTCTACTTACATTTTGACAACGATATCGGTACTTTTCCTACTTAAGAAGTAAAACTACAAACGTCCAAAACCCCAGATTTGTGCGTTTTTGTCACATTTCCTCCGAATATTTGCGAGATATATGTATCGATTATCGTTTAGAGATTACGTAATCTTTTAAATAAGAAACCTTTGTTTGGATAAAGGTGGTTTCTTCAAACTGTCATTAATTTGTTAACATTAAAAGTTGCTTACAAATAATGCTATTAATGGGAAATAACTTTGATTTTCGAAAACTAAAAAAAAAAAACCAAGGGATATTAATAACTTTGGTACTGCACCACATTAAGTGAAAGTTTTTTTGAGCAAACCATAGTGAGTGTTTAAAGCTTTACATTGTTAACGTTACATGTTACATGTTTTGTGGCCTGTGTATTTATTTATTTGCCAACGGATTAACACCTATAATGCAGTTTGATTAGAAGGACAGTTTAAATTGGTTTTAAGTACTATGGTTCTTTTCTTAAATGTAAACGTTGGTTTTTGGTACTGCTACTTTTCCTTAGAACCGGTGGTAGCATTAAGAATCATTTTTACGTACAAATAAATTACTATTTACAACTATAGTTACTGTTAGTGCTGCACCTTATTTCTTATTAAATTTAATTGATGTCTTACTGTATAATTTTTGCATTTTTTGTCTGGACTCCAAAATGTTAGTTTATGCTATGAAAATGATAAAACATTAGCGTAAGATTTTTTTTTTGCAAACCATCATGAATTTTTTAAGCTTGGCGTTGATAACGTATCAATGTTTTGTGGACTGTGTATTTATTTACTTATTTGTATATTTGCCAACAGATTTACACACCAATTTTACAGTTTGATTAGGGTTAAAGACGATTATCATAAAATTTGATGACACTATCAAAACTTTCAAATAATTATTTTGTTTGTCATTTGCTTTGGTTAAAGCGTAGCAAATCCCCTAATTCAATTTTGTATTTGTGTGTGTATGTCTGTTGGTAACGCATTGATGTCCTTATTTCTCAGTGTTTCGTGGAAAAGACAAGAGCGCCTTTGTTAATGAAAATTTCAACCCTAATAAAGTGAATTAGTGAGTCGGTGTCGGTCGTTCGTCGGTCCGGTGGCTCAGTCGGTAGCGTCGCGGACTTCGGGCCCAAGGCCGGTTTCACACGAGCCACAAAACGCCCGACAATCGCAAAATGCTGCTTCTGATTGTTGTGGTGCGCTTGTCGCGCGAGAATCGCAACCTGACGCAGAAAAGAAGAGCCCCATTCTCTTAACATTGAAACGTTAGAAGAGGTGTGCCTTTCACACGAAGTGGCGTCTTTTTGCGTTTGACGCTAGAACGCGCTGCAATCGCATGGAGTGGCTCTGTTCTCGACAATTTTGGTGTTTTTAGCTGGTTATTGCCACTCAGACAGTCAAAACAACCAGTCACCCTGTTTTGTTACGATTTTTTTTTTTTTTTTACTTTTATAAAATTAAGTTATATCTGACTTTGACACAGACCGTTTTATCGTAGAAGTAGGGTGTAGGCCAGTGTTGTGGGACCAAGAATGTAAAGATTACTCAAATAATTATTCTATGACGTCGTACCGCACGAAGAAGCATTATAAAAAATAAGTCTTCTTCATCGTCCATTGTAGCACTGAACTGCACTCGTAGTCTTTCCAAGCGGACTGGTGTTTTGGTTTATTTCAGGGAGGTGCGGTATGAAATGGCGATAAACTGATGGAAATCGCGGAATCATGCTTTTGCCATCTGAAAGGTCCCACGCGATTGAACGCTGCCAGTGGCGCGTTTCTGCCGACGATTGTGGCACACGTTTGTGGCTTGTGTGAAACCGGCCCAAGGCAGCGAAGTCGTGGGTTCGGATCCTGGTCACTGCCACTCAAATTTATCAGTACAGTTCACCTTTGTACTGTACCGCCTTGCTTTGCTGTAAACGTTCCACGCACAGGCGGTTAGTCTATGTGGACGGGCAAATGCAAGGTTAAAAGAGGCCGCCAACCTCTTTTTTAAAAGTAAAGTAGTAAAGTAAAGTGTGCAGTAGTGAGGTTGAGGTAGTATTTTAACTACTTTTAACCAGTGTCAAAAGTAACTTTCAATTACAGGCCTACCTTAGGGCTATGCCTCATAGATCTATAAAGCAATTCCTTTTATCATTAGATATAAAATATGGACTAACACGATCGAGTGACATTTAATTGTGAAGCATTCGTTTTGGCTTTGAAACTTTCAGATATTGTATCTTCGAAGGTTTATATGTATTCCTAAACAGTAATAGTTTTGCCAGCATATCTGGAAAAATTCACAATAAATATGCAAACCAACTCCTGTTCTGAGGTTTCAACTTACTACAAGATTCCCGTACGTAGAATGGGCAAACAGCTAGTAACTGTATACAATCCTACTTTGACAGTTCTCATTGTATATTACAGCTTTTTGTTGCTGCTAGTTCAAATTAGCTGTTGTCATAAATGGAAAAAATAATAATGCTGCACCCTGTTGGTAAACCTTATAACTTTTAATGCTATTTAATATCATAGAACCAACTTGTGCAGTTGAAACAGCTGACAAAATTATTTTATTCCTTTTATACTCATAAGGTTAACATGGGGAACTACAAGAGCCAATGGGGCGGAGCCCAAAAGGATTTCTGAGATAAGAATATACCTATATGTTAATTGGGAATGTGAGCTATCATCATGCCAAATTTCAGCCCAATCCGTCCAGTAGTTGATGCGTCATTGAACTTCAAACAAACAAACAAACTTTCACATTTATAATATTAGTAAGATTCCCTATTTGTATAGAATTAGTTTAACAAGTACTTGGGTTTGCTGCATCAGGGAGGGTAAAACTGTTTTGTTTTTTGTAAAATGTTAATACTTAGTAAGAAATAAAAACATTTTCCAAGTTTGATCAAAATCTATATTTTATAAAAGAGGAAGTTTGTATATATATTTTAACGTTATGGACTCCGAAACCGCTCGACAGATTGTAATGAAACTTTCAGGTATTATTAAGCATTATTCAAGTGAAGTTATTATTATTATAAGTTTGTATATGATAATCGGGAATGTGAGCTATCATCATGCCAAATTTCAGCCCAATCCGACCAGTATTTTTCGAGTTTACTTTTCCCATACACACATACACACATACAGCAACCACCTCTTTTTTATAATAGTATAGATATATAAAAGGCAAAGCCCTCACTGACTGACTGACTGACTCACTCATCACTAATTCTCCCACTTCCCACTTACCTACGAGGCTGAAATTTGGTACACTGACTCTTTAGGCATTAAATAGGAAAACTAAGTGGTTTTTATTCTGATCGGACTCTCGGGCTCCGCCCCAGTGGCTCTGGAGTTTCCCATGTTAACCTAATGAGTACTCATATTTAAATGGAATTAATGAATCATAACAGCTGTTTCAATTCAACAAGTTGGTTCTGTTCTGTGATGTTCAATAGCATTAAAGTTACAAGGATTACCAACAGAGTGCAGCACTATTATTTTTTTTATTTATGACAACAGCTAATTTGCAACCAAAAGGTGAGTGAGCGTAGCGAACGAGCTAACTTGAAGGCAAGTGAGCGCAGCGAACGAGCTCCAACCGTAAAGGTGAGTGAGCGTAGCGAACGAACTTCAACCAGGACGTGTGAGAGCAGCGAACGAGCTTCAACCTAAAGGTGAGTGAGCGTAGCGAACGAACTTCAACCAGGACGTGATTGAGCCATGCGAACGAGCTCACATATGAAGCTAAACGGGGCAAAGCCCGCGGGTACAGCTAGTATATATATATATATATATATATAAATGAATTTGAACGGATGGTGTTTTTTGCCTCTAGGGGCCTCAAAACGAAAGAAAAATCGGTCCCGTGTCCAGGTCTTACTATGAGTACTACGGTAAAAGCTTATTCCCTATACTGTATATGGGAAATTCGCTAAAATAGGCCTAAGTCATAATTTGAAAAATATTCCCTAGGAAAGTGGGGGGGGGGGGGGGGGCAACCGCCGTTACCTTTGGTTAAAATGGTAAGTATTCAGTACGGTAACATTAGAATGAAGGGACCTACGACAATTTATTTAAGTTTTCCGACTTTTTACAGCCAAACTGGTTAGGTAAAGATTGTTTATATATGGATTTTTGGAAAGCTTGAGTCCATTAACATTGGGTGTTACAACAACAAAACCGGATTTTGGCGATTTTAACCCTCCCAGAATTACTTGACGAAAATTCGACAAGCAGCACACTTTGTGTAGTGTTACTTGTCGATTTTTCGACAAGCAGACATCGTTTACGGCGAAGGCTCTATGACTGACTGAATCGGATTGAACTGGATCGAGTTAGGTATCGTTCTTTCCGTAATATTCTAAGCTTTCTCCAGAGGTCTGTCTCAGCGCTGTACGTTCTCTGAGCCGATCGTAATTGTAGCAGACAGCTGACGTGCGTGTATTTGTAAACAGCCAGGTTACTCGGACCGATGACTGATGTGTTTTATTACGTTTATCATTGTTTTAGTGTTAAAAATCAAAAGTAGTGATATACGTGTTGCATTATAAGAAGATTTAAGTGGTTTTGAAGTGCTGGTTGATGATCCTGAAGAAGTAGGTAGTGATATTGATGTAAATTATCAGCCAGATTCCTAGCTATGGTTAGGCTATGCATTCTTAGCTAAACGCTATGTACTGAAATCTGTTTTTGCCCATAACTTATTTATTTGCAAATCTACTTCCTTATATTATTATATATTTGTAATCCTCATAAAATTTAGAACAAAGTGGCTATTTTCAAATATTTATAGGCCTATAATTTATACAATTTCATTGAGCGCGAACTTATTTTTTTTTTGAAAATTTTCGAAATTATATTTTTTTTTACCTAAAAATTTTTTTTTTGAAAAAATGTTCCTTATGTTTTATATATAATATTGAAGCCCATGATTTTCCAAACAAAATGGTATATAGAACATTAGAATTAACATTGTTTTAAGCTTCTCAGATCCGTTTTAATAAAACCTTGCAAATGCGCCAAAAATAGGTGGACATTAAGGCCTAAACTATGGACACTTGGAGGGTTAAAAAATATTTCTATATTATTATATTATATACAATTTATGGGACAATGATAAAAGGGCTTGTTCCTTTTCTCTTAAAATAATTTAAAGAAATTCTGGCTCGTTCTGACATTAAGCCAAATTATTGTTTTATTATAGAAGCAATGATGCAACAATTTGATATTCAACATAGCCCCGATTTCATTAATTCTTCACTCAATATTTTGTTAGTAAAAAAACAAATTTCTAAGATTTTTTGAGTTAATAATTTTGATTTGAAATTACAGTATAAAAGTTCATGATCTTCTTGTAAATTATTATAACAATTGTATAAAATGTATAATTATTATACATTATAAAAAGTACAACTTAGCTATGTTAATTAATTGTAAACTTTCTCAACCATATTGCCTTTTCTGAACAAACACTAATGGCCTCTATTTCAGGCAAATATAACTTGCTGGTAGACTTTTCCTTACTATGTAGCACTTAAAGCTAATGGCCTTATTTCCCTGCTTACTCCTTCCCCTCCGGTGGCCTCCTTCCCCTGATATTTATCCTGGGTGCCTTTTGGTGTTTTGAGTGATATATAACACATTTTTTTTATTAAGTGTGACGTTTGAAGTTGACATATATAGAAGCGGGAACATCTATGGAAGGCATTTCTGCAATCACATTTTCACACTTTTGAGGTTATATCCTACGAATATAGGTGGGGGTCCCCCTGGCCGCTTCTCCAGGCTCATATAGAATGACCGCCTTTCCCTTCAGGACTGGGAATATACATAGAAAACGGAAAAATAATTTAGTTACGACCAGGTAAGGTTGGATTATGTTAGGTTGGGTTAGGTTAGATTAGGTTGGGTTGGATTAGGTTACTAACAATACAGTAGAGTCACGCAAACTTGGCGTAATATGGACTGGAAGGGTGCCGAGTTTGTGAAATGCCGGGTTATCGGGAACTAGGGTTAAAAATAAGAACAATACAGTTTTTTAAGCTTTTTAATCGCCTTTTTTATTTATATTTATATTAGAGGTCAGTATTAAGTCATCAGATATAGTACAACAAATCCTTAGTACCAGTTGCGAATAATTTGACTTAAGCTGGCTTGAGTCCATGATTAACTCGGACTAAAAAAAACACTAACTTTCTGAGCTAGGTGATGGCCGAGTTATCCATACTGCCGTGTTATCGAGTGCCGAGTTTGCAGGACTCTACTGTACCAATGTTATTGATAACCTAACCTAACCTAACCCTAACCTAACCAACACTTTTCCACTCGTAGCTTAAGGGTCCAATTCCTATCCTGCGACTGTTACGACTCGAGCCGCGCGTCTAGAGCCGTACGGCTCGAGTCGCTTGTCTCAATTCCTATGCCGCGACTCCTGCGACTCCCAAGACTAGTGACTAGTGCAATTGCACTCTTGACCGTCATGGAATAAGTAGAGTTGGCAGCGAATATATTACTTGGAGAAGAGGAGGAAAAGTAAATATTAATGTGCATGGTAAAAAACAATGAACAACCTAATCCATTGTTCAAGGTACGGCGAAAAGAGATTTAAAAGTATTCTCATTCAGAGACATCTTCTTAAAGTATTGGGGGTTCTTGGGGTTGAAAAAGTATGGGTGGTAACGAACCAGTTCCATCATCTATGAAGGTACACACCTCAAACTCCGTATGTTAAAACTATAAATTCGTTACAGTCACGCGGCTCCAGTCGCTCCAGTCGCGCGGCTGTAGACGCTCAATAGGAATCGGGTGCATTTGATTTGCATTAAAGCAGTCATTTATTTCAGCCGCGCGGCTGGAGCTGCGCGACTAGAGTCGTAACAGTCGCAGGATAGGAATTGGACCTTAACATAGTTATTTTTCCGTTTTTGACGCTTTTGCGTATCTCCGTTAATATCCATTGGATCTTGGATCTTGGAGCTCTCTCTACCGGTTAATTTGAGTACATGACCTTTTTCCGCGGAAATGTAGTTTTTTTTTTGTTTTTCCGCTTTTTCGTGTTCTTACGACGTTTTGCGCAGAAAAAGGCTTTTAATCGGGGCGTTTTTTTTCTACATTTTGAAAAAAGAAAATTAAAATTTTCCAAGGGTGCACTGAGAAGGTAAGAATTACAGAAAAACTCACCAAAAGAAGAAGTGTAGATACGTCCACCAATTCGACTCTCTGCTTCTAGTATTGTAACATTACAGACATTGTTTGCAACAAGCCTAGAGGCTGCAGCAATGCCAGCTGCTCCGGCTCCCACTATTACAACCTTTGGTGTGAACATTCTAAAAAAATACAGCTTTACAATACATATATAGTAATAGTACCTAGATACAATAGGCCTACCCCAGCGATAAAGTAGTAGACTCTCAACTATATTTTAGAGGGTACTTTCGTATTATACGGAGGCGGCTTATTTTAGAGGGATTTTTTTTACCGAAGACCAAAAATAACTGCATAATTGGAAAGAACCTACTTTAATTGACTTACTGTCAAAAATTTTACATGATTACGATTAGCGACCTTTGAGTTCCGCCTCCCAGAAGGCAGCTATGTCGGCAAGGATTGAGTTGAATGCGTCGCCACCGCAAGCTGCCACATGTACTCTGCCAAGTAGGTATGGACAGCGCGCTGCGGCGGTTATGTTAGGTTGGGTTGTCATAAATATGTTTGTAGGACTTTCCTCAGGTTTTGTTATGAATCAAACGATACCAGATGAGTCATCACTCAGGACACTGACCCAGATCACAGATGGACAGGCGGTGACAGGTGATGGGCACCCTCCAAAAATAACTAGGTATGGTAAAATAACTAGTCAACGACCTGATCTTGGAGGGGTTGTGACGGGTGAAAGTATGACTAATCTGGTATCCAGGGTGTCTACTACATTCTGGATAAAAAATTCATGGACAATTCCCGTACATTTAAGGACACTTTGCCGTAACCTTTGTCGGTGTCATTAGGCCTACCGAATAATTTTCCTGATTTGTCAAACTGTATTAATCTTGTTATTCACTGTAGTTGTACCAGAGAGAAAAGTAAATAATAATAGATAAGAGTTAAAAATTACAAAATGGAAATATATTGAAAGTAAACAAACATAGGCCTACCTATACTTTAGGTAAAGCTTGTATAGTGTAACAGAGAAACGCAATCATTGTCTCCTGCGATAGCGACAAATATCTCCATCGGTCACGTAAACTTCATAACATAGCTTATCCGATCCAGGCCGATTAATTTGGCATGATTTGCCCTGGCACAACATTAGGTTCTTGACTACTTTTGAAAAAACATCTTTAATGCATATTGTTACTCAATTCTTAGTACAAAATCAAGGTATGGATTATTGTATTTTCATTTGCAAAGTTAATATCGACACATAGCAATCATTAGTTGTTTATCTTAGGCTCAATTACATTTTCTTAATATATTTTACAGCTCTTTCAAGAATCAAAATACCCAGGCCTAGACCTAATTATTTAGGAGGGCCTATATAAACTGAGTAACAAACAATGAGGTTATAATAGCAGCAAAGTCACTATCATCATTCTAGTTCATAAGATTTAGATTGCTTAAAGCATACAACTCAATAAATAAATATATGGGAAACAAAAAACATTGAAACCTGAATAGCCAACAATATAAGACAAAGATACAGAAAATGCAATGACATAATTTGAAACCAAGCAGGCTTACATAGTGATAAAACATTAATGCAAACAACAATGCTCGTGGTTTTGTAAATTGAAAGATAAAATGTCCATAAAAAAGGGGTTAACTTACAAAATAAGACTGTAGATTATTTACATGTTTAATATGAAACCATAAACAGTTTTATGGCACTAGGCACTGGCCGTGGCAAATTGAATTGCCGAAAGTACAAGTAAGAAGTGAAATTTAACAGCCATTATAAAGCTATTATTTTCACGATAAAATAGGTTTGGGATCTAATAATAATTACCCTAGTAATAAAAAAAGAAGTTGTAAAGGAATAAAAGTGACACAACTTTTATGAGCTAGCTGCTGAGTCAACAGTTCTTGGAAGTACTTGACTTGACACTTGATTGTCGTGATAAAATATTAATGGGTTTGAGATTGTTATTGCATTTTTGTTATTGGATTTTCATTGCATAATTACTCTAGTAATAAATTATGAAAATGTAAACAAACATCTGATAAACCTTTTATGTGCTCCTAACCAACTAGCGATCAATAAAATTATGGCCCATTAAAAATTTAAGGACATAGTCTGGCATTTAAGGACAATTCCTACATTTCATGGCCAGTAAAAATTTAAGTACAATTCCCGGTTTTCCCGGTTGGTAGACACCCTGGGTATCGTTCGATTTATAACGAAACGAAGAAAGTCCTACAAACATATTTATGATAACAAAACCTAGCATAGCCGCCGCAGCACGCTGTATAAGGGTGGTCTCCATATAATACGATATGAGCCCCAAAGGCTTATCCTAAAGTTATTAGGACTAAAAAAGGCTGCAGTTCCGTATATGGCCTACAATATATTATTAGCCTATCGGATGAATTCCGATATACCTATATCTAAATATATACATTTTTTATCTGGTCCGTAAGTTAATGATTTTATTTGTACCATAGGCCTATGATATAAATAAACAACATTATTAACATTGACGGATCTTTTTATTCATTTTATCCCTTGTTTCCACTTAAATATTTAATACTAAAACTGGAAGGAACTGTGAATTTCAGATATTTAAGTTCTTACCATCAACACTATTGGAAATTGTGTTGAATTTCTTTAAAAAAAGTTTGATTCCAAAACAAGCTAAACGCAAAATATGTGGAGATGAGTTGAAATGAAGACCAGAATTAAAGGCAAGGTAATATTTTGATGCAAAAAATCCTCAAAATCAAACAAGCATCAGAATAACGTTAGTTTAGTTTAACTTATATTTCTTAATACTTTTATCGTTATTTTACATTTTGGTTATTGTGTTTTGATAATTTTCATATGATAAATTGTGTTTTTGTTTTTATATGTATAACTAGCTGCTGTACCCGTGCTTCGAAACGGGAAGATGTACTATTCCGCCTAATCCAAACACTTGTTAAGAAGATTGAATTTATAAACCAAAAGCCACCAAATTTTTACAAAAAAGTAGAACAAAGGCCTACATTGTTATTGTCCTTCTGTTTACCGGTACATTAAAATATATCGATAACATAATTTTCATAACTTACTGTTATAGAATTTTTCTTTATTTCCATAATCAATAACATAAATAAACCTACCACATATTTATGTAAAACTAGTGGTCGTCCTGTGGTCGAAACTCGACCAAAAATAATTAATGTACAGACTTCTCTATTTTCTCCCCACACTGTAAATAAAACATGTGATTGGGATTTCTTCCATTTGTTTTGATTTTCTGTTTACATTTTGTTGTTATTTCGTCACCATCATGGCAACCCAGTTGGTCCATGTTAATTTTTAGAAGTTTTCAAATTCGTTTTTTGTGCTTATATTTTAGCCTATTTTAATTTTTAAAGGGATTCTGCACATCTACAGGCAAATATCTTTCTAACAGTATGCGTAGATTTCCCCTGCGATGCACACGAGCTGAGAAAAAAGGTTTTAAAGAAACATGCTTGCCTATTAATATATAGATAGATATTTTATTTTATTTGTTAGGATCAGCTGTCAATTGTGAAATAAGCAGACTGTTTAGGTACTGAATACTTGAATACTTACTTGAATACTTGTCTTCTACATCGTTGACCGACATGTCGGGTAGATTGCGTCATGTTTTACTATTTACATATTACTAAGCACTATAAAACTATTAAAAATATCTACATATACTTTTCGTGGCGGACGTGTCACGTTACAAAAAGGGGTTTGTTTTCCAACTCATGCAAGGCGTACAATGGCCTATTCAGCAGTCCATCGCGAATCGCACTCTTAAAGTCTGGCAGGTCCATGTCACGCACTCGCTTAGGCAAGGTGTTGAAGACCCTAATTGCTGAACGCGGGTAACTCCTCATCGTCTGTGCAAGTCGGCACCGAGGCATGTCGAGGTCTAGGGCTCTGCAAGTATTGTGGGTGTGGACCTCCTCCCTCCTGCCAAAGAGTCCCACCTTGTCTTTGAGAAGTACAAGGATGTCGAGGATATACTGGCTGAATACAGTGAGCACCCTATGCCGGATGAATATAGGGCGGCAGTGCTGCTTGTAGCCAGCAGATGACACGATCCTCATGGCTTTCTTCTGGAGCAGTAGGATGTCATGGGCTGCTGCAGAATGGCCCCATAGGACAAGGCCATACGACACATGGCTGTGGAAGAGGGCGTTATAGACCATCAGCAGAGAGGGTTGACTTAATGTAGGGCGAAGTCTTCTTAGTAGGTAAGTAACTCTAGATAGTCTGACACATACCTTGTCTATGTGATGCCTCCAATTTAACCTGGGGTCGAGCCAGAAGCCCAGGAGTTTTACAGCCTCATCTTCCACAGCAGGTTTGAGGGTACACACGATGGTCTGTGTCTTGTCCTCATTCACCTTGAGCCTATTGGCGGCAAACCAGCTCTTCGCTTCTTCCAGTAGAACAGTAGCTTCTCCACGGAGATCCTCTAGGTCTTTCCCTCTAGAGAACAGAGTAGTATCATCAGCAAACAGCAGAGTACGGTTGTTAAGTGAGAGGTCATTGATCATGATAGTGAAGAGCACCGGCCCCAGCACCAAACCCTGCGGCACGCCGTGAGGTATGCTGCCAACGCTGGAAGAGGCACCTCTCAGAGTGACATACTGTTTGCGGTCACTGAGGTATTCAGTCATTGAGCCAAGGACTGCGCCACCCACCCCATACCTACTCAGTTTTGCAAGAAGGATTTTGTGATTTACGACATCGAATGGCTTGCTCAAGTCACACAAACTTAGCAGGACAGACTCACCCTCCTCAAAAGCACTGGAAATAACGTCAACAAGGCTTAAAAGTGCAGAAGTGGTCGAGTGTTTACCTCTGAATCCGTGTTGGGCTTCCGTCAGAATGGCATTACCTTCCAAGTAGGCTATTAGTTGTTTCTTCATAATGGTCTCTATCACCTTGGAGAAAGATGGGAGGATAGATATCGGTCTGAAGATGGAAGGGAGTGAAGGGTCCCCTTTCTTGTAGATGGGTATCGTCCGGGCTATTTTTAAATTACCAGGAAACATACCCTTATCTAGGCAAAGATTGATCAGATCTGTAAGGGGTGGTGCAATTAAGTCTATTACAGATTTTAAGCACTTGTTTAGTTGACACTCCATTTACATCTTGACTTGCCGAGGCTTTGAATTTCTTAACGGTAGAGATAATTTCATTCACACTCACCTTCGTCCAGCAGTTAAAGTTGTGTGTTTTTTTTAACACATGTTTTTTTAAGTTGTGTGTTTTTCGTACTGAAATGTCAAAGCAAAGGTAAACAAAGATTGTGAATTTTCTTATATGATTCCATGGAGACCAATTATTTTTATTTAGGCTTTTGAAAACCTCACCTCAAATCTTTGGACAGCCTAGAGGAGGAAGTGGATAGTCCTATGACATTCCTAGGTATGTGGACAATCTTTGTACTTAATTTGGGCTGTATCGGTTTAGTAAGTTATTTTAGCAGACAGACAGACACAACACCAATTTTATAATAGTAATAGATTAGAAGATAGATAAATTATGTATTTTAAATATTAATAAAACGGAAACAGAACGATTTTGAAATCAATGTTTAGACTAGAATAGAAAAAAATATATTTCGCTAACTTATATCGACCCAATCAAATTTCAATATATATATCGTTATTCACCTGATAATATATCATAGGCCCTATACGGAACTGCAGCCTGTAAAAGTATCCGCTACCTTCATCATTTAGTAAAATGTATTACTTTTCTCTCAGGAGGAAAACAAAAGTATCTGTAGGCTATTCGTTTAGTTTCTTTTGTAAGGGTGAATAAAAAACAACAGGCCTTATCTAACTTGGCCTGCAATATGAAAAAACGCTAGGTGTTAAGGAACTCTTCTGTTAAAATGTCTTAAAATTATTACTTTTTTAAAGTTTAACAATAACATTTGGAAATAAGTTACATAGTTAGATTGTAGCCTTGTTGTTACCCCTAACAAGTTAAAGTTAACATTAAAAGGAGTTTACAAAAATTCTAAGTTAACCTATGTATAAACAATGCTAATTTCCCTTACCTTACCTACACTAAGTAAAAATAATGTAAGTACCTTGAGATGGGGTTACTTTGATACAACAATTTTGAATTTTTTTTAACTTCAAAACTATAAGTAGGCCTACATACAAAAGATTTAATTATTGCAATATATTATGTGGATGGATGTTATCCATAACTTGTGCATGTTAAACAAAATTTAGATGTTATAGATTTTAAAATATATATATATTTTTGTGACTGTTCAAAGTAGCCCCGTGGATGGGGCTTCTATGAAAATAAACTTTAACCTCTTATATCTCTAGCACTGTTTGAACCTAGGTGCTTCTTTCTTTGATATACCTACCATAAAAAAGCTGGAGTTTCAATGAACAAATACAAAAAATATGGAAAATATTAAATATTAAAATTTTTACTAAGTAAAAACTGAAACGACTCAACAAAAATTTGTGATTTACTCTTCAATTAAAAATAGTTTAGGTAATTTTTTTCTAGTTTTTCCAGAGGCCTGGTAATGGTTACACTTCTTCTTAATTAAGTTATTAGTGAATATAAGAGTCAAAAAATAATTGTTCAATCAGTTTTTTTTCTTCTGCTCCAAAGTCTCTTTAAAAACATCGCAAAAACAGACGCCAAAAGAGTGTCTAAACTTTGCTAGAAACAACCAATATATTTAGGTACCGTACAATATTTATAGTTTTTTCTTGCTTTTTCTCTCATTTACATGATACTGTAGTTGCTGAGGTCAGCATTGAAGGTAAATACACCTGATCTTCACACTACACAGCACGTCGCCAGAACTGCAACAGCAACAGCACGGCAATGGCAGGGGTCTTTACACACTTGACAGCAACGACACGTTAAAAGCACAACATTTTTACTGCAGTTAGCTTTCAGATTTGGTGAACGCAACCTGGCTGACTTTAATGGAAGATTATAGGTATTTATTATATTTGTTGTACTTACGACGTAAGCGTCGGTCAGAAAGAAAGTGGTGAGTTCACCCGTATTGAAAGTGCGGTATGTTGATGGTGCTTACTACAATTTATTTGAGAAGTTAATTTGTGATCCTAAGAAACTTTTCAATTTCTTTCGTAAGAGTAAACCAACATTAGATTAGGCAACTTACTGAAAAACATGACTGAACACATCAAAAGAGAACATTCTTCTTTTAGAATGGCTATTCCACCAGAAGAAATGTTGGTAGTTACACTACAGTAAGGAAAAAAGCATTTTTATTCTCTAGAGAGCATTTAATATATCAATACAACAAAATACACAAATTTTGAAGGAACACAGTAAATGAATTATTTAATAAGAGTTGAGTTGTAAGAATACATCGGACTGTGATCAGCATGCACCTTGTACTCAGGCCAGGGATGTGATGTATTACTGACCTGAGACTACTGACAGACGGTGACTGCACGGCAACAGCGACGACGGGGGGCCAGCACCTCGCCAGTATGTCCCGTCACGTCGCCAGCACGTCACCGTCACAGCAACAGTGTGTACGCTCCCATATGATAACATTACCAACGTTGACGGGCCAGCGCTCCGCTGAACCGGCGGCGACGTGCTGTGTAGTGTGAAAACGCCCATCCTCGTAAAGATATCATAGACGGTTCGGAGATAACTTGTACCATATCACTGTAAGCCTATGCTATGTTGACATAATCTTCCTGAGGGGGCCAGATGAACTTATTTCTTCCTTGGTTCCTTAGGAATTTGACCTCAGCTCCCTTCTCATAATAACTTATGAACTAATGATTTGCCCTATGAAATAGTGATAAATCTCTTTTTAGAGGCATAAGTTATTTCACCACTACCCAAGAGCCAGATGGTGGCGGATCGGAACCTTTCTCTCCTACCAAATTTTTTTTGTCAACATGAATAATAAGACAAAATTTTTAATTTTAATTAATTTAGGAGACATGAACCCTAATGTGACATGAACCCTAACCCATGAAGCTAAGGTAGGCATATCATAATAAAAAATACATAGAAGGCTTTTGTAATTTTTTGTGCACCTACACAAAAGAGTTTGGGTGGGTTCGTTTTATAGGGAAAAAACGTGGTCTCAGTTAGCCCGGCTGCACTTTACTTGACGTCCTACACTCATTTGAATGAAAATATCGATCGATATATCGATTAATCGATTGCTTCATTCGATATATCGTTTGGTTAGTTAGGTAAGGTTAACCTAACCTAACTAACCAAACGATATATCGAATGAAACAATCGAATGAAAATATCGAATCGAAAAAAACAATCGAATGAGTGTAGGACGTCAAGTAAAGTGCAGCCGTTAGCCCTAATATATTTTTTTTAATTTTTTAAAAACAATATTGCACTATACTTCATAATCTTCAATTAAATAAACAAGGAATTAAAAAATGTGTAGGCCTAGGCCTATTAAGTTAGATGCAGGGTAGGCCTATGACATACCTATGTAATGTGTGTTACATACTCATTTTTTACATTTGTTTACTTTTCGGTCATAGTAGTCCCACAGTTCAAAGTAGCCCCATCTGACAACCTTTACTGGCCTGGCCTTTGGATAACTTATTTAAAAACTAAGTAGGCTACCTACTTAATTTCAAAACAAAGCCTAACTTAACCTTTATAAGATTGGACTAGGCCTAGGCGCTAGGCAAATGCAAATTGTGCTTGGGCATGATTTGATGACCCTAGGCCTAAAACTAGCCTAACTCTAAACCTAAACCTAAACTTAAACTATAACCAACCGTATGT